ATAGATAGATAGATAGATAGATAGATAGATAGATAGATAGATAGATATATGGCTCGGCGGCTAAGACGCTGAGCTTGTCGATCAGAAGGGTTGGTAGTTCAAATCCCTAGCGCATGTAACGGAGTGAGCTCCCATTACTTGTCCCAGCTTCTGCCAATCTAGCAGTTCAAAAGCATGTAAAAATGCAAGTAGAAAAATAGGGACCACTTTGGTGGGAAGATAACAGCGTTCTCTATGCCTTTGGCATTTAGTCATATATATATAAAATAGCTGAGTGGCTGGAATGGAAATTAATGGAACCAGAAAATTGGTAAGTCAATGAAACACAGAAGAGATGTTACAAGAAAGGGAAAAGGGTTTTCTGCCAAAAATGTAGGAAATTTCTCCTAAGATGCCCAAGAGAAATGGGTATGTTTTCCACAGTTCAGATATTTATTATTTATTTATTCAATTTGTATGGTTGCCTATCTCACCTAAGTGATCTCACAAGAGTTGGTATACAAGCCAAACTGAATGCTATGCCACAGATTCCTTCCACGTAACCTTTTAGTTGTTGCTGAGTGGTCATTCATTTGCACCTGCTGTTTTGTGACATGATGAACATCCTTTCTTCAGGACTATTACTCAGTAACTATGTTTCTCTAAGGCAGGGCTGTCAAACTCCCAGCCTACAGGCTGGATGCCTCACGCACTGACCATGACCTTGCCCGGTTTTAGCGAAGGAGGAAAAAAATTCCCAATGTGTCACATGACGCTGCCATGACGATGCGAGTCTGACACCCCTGTTCCAAGCACATTCTTATGTTATCATCTAGTCACCATGTCTTCTGTCAATTCCTTTTCAAACTCAAGAGACTTCTCCAGTGACTCTTGCTTTTGCGTTAAGTAATATTTAAGCTTTAGTTCCATTGTTAAGGTTTCCACTGAGCAGTCTGATATCATTGACATACTGAAATCTGTTATTGCTTCTCCCAGGAATTTTGATTTTATTTCCTTCTACTCCAGCATTTTTCATGACATGTTCTGCATATAAATTAAATGTTCACTGTCACATTATTTATAGGATGTACTCCTTTCCCTATTTTGAACCATTTAGTCGCCACTTTTCTATTTTAACTGTTGCTCCCTAGTCATCAATTGTTGGAAACAATGAACACACCTTAGTTATCAGGCACACGTTTCCTTATGTTGAGACTCAAGTAAACATGACCCATAGAATGTTTATGGTCTGGCCTTGTGAGAACAGTTTATATGGCACCATCCATCATTATAAGTCTCCAAAATGCACTGAACTATTGAAAAATGAAAAGTACTGGATATTTTTCTTCAATATCCAATAGGTGGAGATATTGTTCAACTGTCAACAATTATGCTAAACAAAGACTGTGTACATTAACTTTAAGGGCCTAAAGATGTCTCATCCATTAATCTATTCCAGCAGCATTTTGGATTAGAAAAACATGTCTCGATATAATATTCAGCATTTCTGCTCACCCATTCTGGTTCAATGGTTAAAGTTTATATGGAGAGAAGATAATGAACTTCATATAACGTATTTCTTTTAGGAAACACTGTCTGGAAGCCATGAAGTATAATGTGCTCCATTCAAGTGTCTAATTAGGCCCTAAAATCCACTGAAATTATAACATTTTCTAGTTCCAATTTCACTTTTAACTCTGAAGCCATCTGAACATTTCACTGCTGTTCCATACATCACAGCATTATTCAAGGGATCAATCTTCACATCTTCTGTTTCCCATTCACATGTTTAATTGCTACTTAGAGAGCAAGAAAAATTCAAGAGATTCTGCTGATTTTGGTCACTTGCTAAAAATATACATCCATCAAATACTTGGATTAAAAAAAAACTAGTAACCATTTCTTATATAGGATGATTAATTTTTTCAAGGTCAATAAATGTCCCAACATCCAAATCTTCAAAATCACAGCTTCCCTTTAGAACACCAAAATCATTTTAGTCATTCTCATTCATCCCAGTAAATAAAAGGAATCAACTACTAACTGAGTTCAGGGAAGCATTTTTAGTTGCTGCCAAATTCAGATCAATCCAAAAATAGGAATGTTCTGTTTTTCCCTCATCCTTTATCTTGAAACATAACAAGATGAAAGACCTTACCAAAACTGTAAAATATCAGGCTCAGTAGTGTATGACAAGGTAATTATCAAAACAAGTCAGAAATGATGGTTTATGTAATTCTTATACTCCCCACTTTCATTGGAAGTCAATGAAAAATTGAAAGTTAGCAATAAAAATCACAAGTCTCTATGATCCTAATTCATTTACAGGAATACCACTGAGTTTCATGACGGTTGTACTGGGATGAGAGTGTGCTCGGGCACTAGCTCATCTTATGATAAAGGGGTGATTTATGATTTGCCATTTTCACCACAGCAGCTGTTTTGAAAACAAGCAGCCTTCCATATCAGCCATTGTGTAAATTTCAAATGAGACTCAAAAAATTGTCTACTTCTGCTCTATCGCTAAAGACGTAATTTCAGTATTTCTATACAACTGTCAACTACAGCTGGCAAAGCATCAAGGATGTTCTGAATGTACACATAGAAAGCATAGTAGTGGGGCCCACATGTTCTCTTAATGGGGGACCAGATGTAAGTATTCTGAGTGTATAATTCTTTGAAGGTCATGAAGTATATAAAATGTGTTTTATGGCAATAAACCCTGGTTTTATTGGTAGACAGGAAGATAGCAGAGTGCTTTCAGAGTCACATGGTCACCGCAAATAAACAATTTCACTACTTCACTCAAGTTCCTGTACACTTTGTATTATTTTTCTTTTGAAGGAGAAGGGTCATGATTTTATTAGCTGCAAACAGTGCCATGATTATATTTGTACTGTGACAGGAACATCTCGTTTATTGAAATCATGAATTTACAGCTGCTCAGTTTTACAAACTAATCTCATGTGATGTTAATGCCAAGACCTATTAGGAAGCCCAGAACTCTGCTGGGCTAAAGACACCAAGGATATACGCATAAAAGATCAACACCCCAACAGTGGGAGCTAAGAATCCACAAGTAGAGACCTATACTCCTGCATAAGATAGGAAACTTTGGTTTCAAATCAGACTTAAGAGATAGACAAAGAAACAGAATAATCAGGGAGAAATTGTTAAACTTGGATGATTTGGAAGCAACTTACATTCTCTCCACTGAACAAACTCCATATCAAGTCATATAAATCTGCAGGCTCTGCTTCCCTAATTGGGAAGAAAACCACGTGCTTTGGGACTAGGTCCCAATTTTAGCTATTTTCATTGAAATGGTGTCAGACAGCAAGACAGGAATGATCTGTGCCCAAAATCGTACCGAAGCACTGCATTAATCTGACTTTATTGAATTTACAGTCATTTCCTTGCCCACAATGTAGCACTATGCACTGGGAAGAACGGTCCACAGCAATCATGATTTAATCTAACCACAAGAAAAAAAAATTCCAACAATCAGATAAGCTATTCTGGGAAGAAGAAAAGGCATCTGTGGGAACAAGGGGTAGGCATACAAAACAGGAAAGACACTTAATAATTAGGTAAGCTCATTAAAAAGCCAAAGGAAAACAACACAGCTAAAAATGGTATTTATTTTTGTAAATCAGATTTTAACTAGCTTTTAAACATTTGCAAATGAATGTCTTATTAGACATAGAAAAAGAAAATGAAGGGTGTTTTTCTGCATGTACACAAATTAAATGCAAGTTTGTATTGATTAGTAGCTGCACAGGGATAATTTAACATTTCACTCTCAGTTTCTGTGTCTCATCCACATTGAGTATTGATTACACATCATTGACTATGGATGGTTTATAGCCAATTTGTAAATGGCAGGTATCACACACACACACACACACCCTTTTTCTTTACTGGCTAAACATGTTTTGCAGGGTTTTATAACATAATCAAATGAAGCAATACTCAGATGTGAGCAAAAATGTTGGATGCTATGTTTTTGTGAACTCTTTTTGTGCAGACAAAAAAGATTCTCTACTGATTCCATAGATTCTCTAGTTACCTTGGACCCAAATATCAGGACTTGCAACATTTTACATCTTACCCAGGGCACAGGTACTGCCAGGGAAGCAATGTTCTTCGCACAAACCAAGGTATGGGGAAACTACCAGTTTTACAAGTTCTTCTAGTTGCATAAAAGCCTTAGTGGGACCTGTAGGTTCATGGACTCCCTGAAACATAAACAAAATATACCTACTGTCAAATACCTGGGATATGCAAATCAACACATTTCATTTGCCCATTTTTATTTTTCTAATTGACTGAAGAAAAGAAACTTAATTATGTATTAGATTATGAAGTAGGGGTTATAAGTTATATTATTTTCTATAGCAGGGTTTCTTAACATCAACCAATATGTCGGCTGGGGAATTCTGGAAGCTGAAGTCTGCCTATCTTCAAGTGAGAAGGTTGAAGGTTGAGAAATGCTGTTCTACAACAACCTACTGAATGCTCTCAGCAGATAGCTCAAGCTGGCCATTCCAACAAGTCAATGAATATAAGCAAATTAACTTTCTCCCCAGGACTTGTGACCCAATTGGCAAGTGATGGATGTTTTAATTCTCTGAATCCAAATTATCCCAGCAACTTAAGACAGCATTCCTGATGTTTCCACCTTTTTCTTTCTCCCATCGTCAAGAGTTATAACTAGGGAACATTGGCAAGGTGGGAGGCTGGTTAGAACTATCAAAGTTGTAAATGTGAGGAAATGAAAAGAAGGCAAAAATTCATGGCCAGAGCTCAGACATGATAATTTAAAACAAACAAACAAAAGTATTATCCTTGAAACAGTCATTGAAAACCCTATATTGCAACATATTAATTTCATTATTCAGAAAACTAGAAAATATTTTAGATAGCTCAAACTTAATCAATGAAAGACTGATGTCAGAAATCCAATCCTCTTAATTGAAAATACCTTGCCCAACACACATGATTAAGGCTGCATCATGTTGACTTTCTCCATAAGAGTCATGCTTACAGCATGGAAATAGAGGCATTTAAGGAGGTAGGCATATCATCAATGTCTTTCTATGAGACAGACCCCAATATATAGGGAGCCAATATTTGCAGGTCCAGGCCAAAGGCAATTCTCTGCTTCATAAACTGTTTGGAAAGCAATAATTTCATTCTTACAGTATATCTAATGCTCATTAACAGTGGTTTGCAATACATTTGGATGTCAGTACAATATATTTCAAAGTTGCTAATATTAAAACAGGCTAAAAATATTAATGCTAATGTTAAAACATGCTGCTCCAACATCACTACGCTTCTAGTGAGAGGTTGGAACAAAATATTTAGCCTTGAAATGTTTTCCCAGCCCCACAAACATCATAAATGATAGGTGAAAATAAGACCATTCCCCACCTGTAAAATCAGCAGCATCTGGATAATGGAGGGTGGAAGGTTACTTTGGACCAGAGGAAGAATCTCATCTAACTTTACTCTTAATAAGACCAAGTCTCGGAAGCCAAGCAAGGAAATCTGACGAATGGTCAATTCTTGACCCTACATTAGAGGAAAAAAAATGGCATCCATTAGCATTGTAATATGGTTCAATCCTATTTGCAGACCCTACCCTGTTTCTTCGACCTAACCTGAAAGTAAGTCCTAACTTGATTTTTACATGTGCATCCAATATTAAGCCCTACTCCCAAAATAAGCCCTAATTAAGATTCCACCCACTCCAGAGTGCACGGGTAAAAATTAAGCTAGGGTGGGGATGGTGGGGTGGAGCTGCCCTACTACTGACCTTTGGACAGTTGTAGCCAGGCCTTGCACACCCCGACACATGCCTTGCTGGCCCATTCTGCAGCTGGCAAGGCTGGCAATCCAGAGCTCTGTTATTGGCTACAGAGGCCTTCAGAAAAGCCTTGCCGGCCGCAGAAAAAGAAAGTTCCAGAAGGCCTCTGACAGAGAAAAGGAGGCTGGGGGCGACGCATGCAAGTGAAGTTAGTCAGTGAATGACATCCCCTGAAAATAAGACCTGGTGCCCTTTTTGGTGGAAAAAATATAAGACAGGGTCTTATTTTCAGGGAAACATGTTACATTTTAGGGCAGTAATGCCACACAATAACATAAAAGAATTGGAGAACAAGCTGGTACATGAACATAACCTGACAGAGAAATTATTGTAAATTAAAAGAAACACAATGTTTATGCTGCCCCTGGACAATCAGTTTCTGGATAGAAAGGCAGTTGTAGAAACTGTTGTTAAGAAGGGGGAAGTGGGATCACTGTGTAGTTAGATAGGAAATGCATATTTGAAGCAGCACTCTTTTCAAGGGGTTCCACAAAAACTTCACTATGTATCTTGGACTTTTTAAAGCAAGAGGCTTAATTTAGTAACTTGTCTTTGCTGGTCTAATTTCAGATATTTAATAGCACTCCAAGAGATAAAATATATAGCATTTGAATAAAGTTTTTATTTAAAAAGGTATGTGTTATTTAAAATAAAGATGTGTTTTTGATTTCTGCTACCATCTTTAAAAGGCTAATGCCAATCCTATGAAGCTACCATCAACCTTTGTTTAAGTACTGTGTTTACAACTCTTATTTTAATAGCTAAAATCAACCATGCTGTATTCTCTCCATGGGAATTGTTTAGATATCCCCAACTAATGAACCAGAACTCTAGCTGGAGGGAATAAATGTACGTTAATCATCAATTCATAATAGGGTTAATGATACAACTAACAAGTTCATCAAAATGCAAAACAAGAACACAAGCCAAAGGCTCTGAAGCCAGAAATTTCCTGCTTTTAAAAAGGGCTGTTCTCCTTAAGATTCAAAGGGTGTGGTTATGGGCAAATAAATGGAGCAGGAAAAAAAAGAAAAAGAAAGGAATGAAATTTCTGCAGAAACAGATATGGTTATTCTCGGTTTGACCTAATCTCTGTTGTATTACAACTAATCTACTGTGCAAATTTTAAAAAATACGAAGAAGGAACATCTCAGCAAATAAGTATCCACAATCCAGCAACATTAAGAATACAGTTATGTCTTCATCTATAGGGGAACATTGACAAGATGGGAGGCTATTTACAGTTAGAACTGTCCATACCTACCAATTCATGTCAAAATGATATCAAATTTTGTTTGCCTGGCTCTTCACTTTTAATGATATGAAACCTTTCCTAATATATTTATTTGGGGGGGAATGTTCTGTTACAATTAATTGGCTTTGCTCTCGCGTTTGGCCCAAGTAATTTATATAGAATTTTTCATTTAACCTATATATATTGGATCATTTTTATAATTTAAATTCAATTCCACTGCCAACCTATAGTTGTGCAGCAACAATCTACTGTAGATGTAGAACAAAGCATCATTAATCTACTGTAGATGAAGAACAAAGCATCATTTTTTTCTGTCACTGACCCTTTATATTATATTACAATTTTTTCAAGCACCTTTTCTCTCAGTAGTTCTCAGATAACTACTCTGGGAAATATTATAGTATGGTACACATGTGTTATTCATAATCATTGAATTTCATATCATTATAACATTCATTGCAGCATCTTTTTGGTTGCTGTACTCAAGAATTTTAGAACAGCACATTGCTTTTGTGCTATTTATTCTACTGTTCGTTTATAAAGGAAAAGTGTGAAAGAGCACACTGCATGAAAACATCTCTTACAATATGAAGCTTTCATCCATTTATCTGTACTTCAAGAAACAACTTTCAATTTTTCCATAATATTTTGGCTAGACAATCAGCTAAGCTCAATCAAATGGAGTCACAGTTGGTTGAAAAGCCAAAAAGACCTCAATTATTTTTCTGTCAAATTGGAGGAAGGTTTCAAATGGCATGCTACTGAGCTCTGTTTTAGGAACCAGTATGCTTCAATATGCTTATTTGTATTTACTTAAAATTGAAAGCACTTGTCTGAACAGTAGTGCAGATAAACAAGAATCCAGGACAGCATTTCAATCAACAAAGCAACAGCAATATTATGAGTTGGAAAAAAAGAATGTAATTTCAGATCACATCCATCAAGGTACAACAACTTTGAGTGAATCATTTCCTATATACATAGTAAAATCTATTGTGTTAACAGATGGCAAAAATTAAGATAATTCAAAGAACTGAACCATGTTGTAACGTGGTAGAGCTGACCAGCATTTCAAATCCAAAGTCATAAAGATGCTTATGAACAGACCGTCTTTAATTCAAACATCCTGCCCTAGGACAGATGCTAAAGAAGATTGGACTTTATGATTTAGTCTGCCTACAAATGTAATAGATAGAAAAAATGATTGATTTAGGGCCCCAATCTTCCTGGGCCTGTTGATATATTTGGAATGTTGAGACCATCTACCAAAAGCTAAACCGATTTTCATCTCATTTGTCCTAATAACTTCTTCTGACTTTCTAATATATTCTCTGCCTCTTATACTTGGAGATCATGCTTTACATTGCAGCTTTCCATTTAAAAAATAAAAATGTCAAGCAAAAGGTAAAATCAGATAGGACAGGAACCCTGGTAGGTCAAAAAGGAATGGTAAGATACACTGACACTCATGGCCATGGGCATAGGCATATTGTTGGGAAGCCCAGGAGTTAAAGATTTTTCAAATGTGCACGGTTCACCTGCCTGTAAAGCCACACATACCTTTTATCATCTGCTGCAAGTATAAAAAGGAGGAATATGGGAAGGGAATAACAGGAAAAAGAAAAACAAAAAAGAGAGAGAGCATAGGAAATCAGATTCTTATAGCAAGAAGAAAATATTTACATTCTCTCTAGTAATATGAAAAACAAGTGTTTCAAACACTTTGAAACAAGCTTTGCATAAGGTAGTAACGTTTACCTGTTGATATTTTTGGTCTAGAGGGAAAAATAGCATCAGTTAGTGGTGGATTGTTAAAGGGAGTTCTGGAAAAGCACAGAGATAATATGTAACTTTCTTAAGAATTTCATTCTACAAGAAATCTGTCCCATCGGTTACTTCTTTTGCTGCATAGATAATATTTTCTTGGTCTTCTAATTAATTCCCTGTTACTGAGCTCATTCAGCTCCTTGGGAAGAAAAATATTACCTTTTTTATCTCAGAGTGCCAAGCATAATTACTGGGATTATGAATACAGAGTATTTCACTTGTCTCAAATGCAAAAATGGTTTATGTAAAAAGTGGTGTAACAGTGAGGATTGTTAACTATGGCATACAAATACTTGGGCATATTGGACAGCGGGTTGAGCCAATTTAGTCAGAGGCCAATATAAATACATTTCATGATTTCTCTGCTTCTAGGGGAACAGACAGTTCTACAATCAGAAAATGGGAGGCGGGATTTTACCTTGCAATATGCTGCCTCTAATATACAGTATGCCTCATAGAATCTTATCAAGTATTTGGCTTCCTCTTTACAAATCATCATTTGAAATTCAAGAGTCAACCACGGGAATTAGATTTCTTTCCAGTTTTTCTACTCAGGAACAATGGTAAGAAAAAAAAGAGGCTATAATGAAGATGATCAAAAAATTCAGAGGAAAGCAGGTGAAGAAAGCACAAAATCTTGTCCTTGAGGAAATCTCAGGCCAGGTTGGCTGGGAATTTTGTTATTCTGGAAAGTGTCAGGTTGGAGACAAAGACTTTTATCATTAGCGTATTGTCCAATTACAATGTCTTCAGGTGGTTAAAACTAAAATGCATCGTTAACAATGGATATTGATCTGTAAATTAACAATAACACAAAATATTGATCCAGAATAACTTATCCTTTAACAGAGTGTAGATTTATAATTATTGGGTTGGTGGTTTAAATTAGTCAAGACTTTATAACCATATCGATAGCAGGACAAACAAGCTTAAGAACAATTCTGGTGAAATGTGTGATTCTTAAAGTTTAAAATAAATAGTTTTCCTTTATAGATTAAGCTTCATGTCTCCCTTCAATTATAGGGCAAGTTTGAATTGTTTTTCTCTGCCCTGTTGAGCTTATATTTAACTAGCTTTACCTGAACAGGGTAAAATATAGCCTGTAATGTAGGAAGAGTTTCTGTGAAGAAGTGATCCCAAGTTTCAGATAATACATAGATACGATCTTCTCCTAAAAAAAAAAAATACAATGAACATTAGGCCAACTTGCAAAAAGCATGTTGTTATTAGATACGCAACTCTCATTTCCAAGTACAAATAAAATCCATTGCTTGGCTTTGTGAGATTACTGGAGGTTTCTAGGTGTCTTTTAGATAAGCAGCAGAGGCCTAGGTAAGTGGCGCATCTAGCCAGCCTTGGGTGGTTTTGAAAAGCTAACTAGGTTTGGACCTGGTTGATGCCTGGATGGGAGACTTCTGAGAATACTAGCTTGTGGATTAGACTGGGAAATCCAGGAAGTAAGGAAGGACAAACCACTTCTATCTGATGGCCACCCGAAGACAGGGATGCCTAACTGGCGGCCCGCAGGCCAGATGCATCACGCATAAACCATGCCCACCCCTGCTCTGTGAATGGGAAAAATATTGCAAAGCGTCATGTGATGGCAACGTGACACCATGGAGTTTGATACCCATGCACTAGAAGCTGAAGGTTCCAAATACTATTTTTTACAAAGGGGGCTCAGCTGCAACTGCAATGATGATCTCAATATGGAGCTGCCCTTAAGGACTTCCTGGATGCTGCAGTTGGTTCAAAATTTAACTGCCATATGTTGACTAAGAACCACCAGAGCTTTGTTGGTCTTTCACTGGTTTCCAATAGATTTCCAAGTAGAATTCAAAATGCTGGTTTTAACCTATGGGGCCCTTTATGACATAGAGTCTGGATGTCTGCAGAACTAGTAAAAGTAGAATTGACCCATCTGATTTGTTTGCTGAAAATGAGGATGCTGAAAGTACCTCTTCCCCATGAAAGATCAGAGGAGTGAGAGGAATGGCATTATGGATTTGGCGATACGTCCCTGTATTGTAGAAGTGACCTATGGAGATCTGAACGGGACCATACGTGACAGTTTTTCAGAAGACTCTAATCCACACAACATTTAACTATTTAGAAAGGTTGGAAATTGTTTATTTCCAGATATCGTATCGTATCATATCAGGTAGGTTTTTTAGTTATCTTTCTAAGGTAGTGGTTCTCAACCTGTGGTCTGTGGAGGGGAGAGGCCTATGAAGAAAATGAAATGAAAGAAACATTATGATTTAAATCTTGAGTTAAGTTTTGATGGTCCATGGCCACAAAAAGTATTTAAAGGGGCTCCATGGTGAAAAAAAGGTTGAGAATCTCTATTTAGGGTTTTTATGCACTTGTGTAACCTTGACAAAAATTGCATGAAACCGATAGCATAAAAATTCTGCAGATACATAAATTACAACACATGGCAGTTATGCCAACTTTCTGTCTTCCTTCCAAAATAAAACAATGTGCTTACTTTTTCTGAGGGATAATCAGTATT